GGACTTATAATTACTAAGCCAAGGTGCTACCAACTACACCAAGCAAAACAAACAAACAAACAAACATTTATTTCCATTTTTGTACAATGGTTATTCTTCTCAAAAATAAAAGTAACTTATAAGCAAACATGCAATTGAACTAATAAGTAAGAGGGTAATACATACAGTTAAAATACATGTAGCTTTCATAGAAAATAGTAATGATGTAATAAAAATGTTAACAATAATGTTAATAATATAGTAATAATAACACAGGATACAGTATCGTTAGTATCGTCATCATTACCATATTTGTTTTCTTTTCAATGAGAATAATTAGTTCTTAACTTAGAGAACAGAGAAGTCGATATCAGTTTACATATAGAGAGGCTAGTGTTAAGGAAAATTGTATTAAATCATTAAGTTTACTTTATATGTGAGCAGCAACTATTTGTCCAAAAGAAAACTATAAACTTTGCCTTCGAAAGCTGTGAAGGCGGATACATTTTTAAGATGCTCTGGAATATTTTTCAAGAGTGTTGGCTCTTTAATGGTGATCATCTTTGAACCTGCTTCTGTGTTTGTTCTCTGAATAAAGGGCTCACTGCTCTGTCTTGTGTTGGTTCCCCTTATATCCCTGACTGTTTTTAAATCAAATAGCCAGCTAGGATAATGATGGTCCAAAATTTGTTATACAAAAACATAAATAGGATAAGCAACCTTGTTTTCTGCCCGCAGCCACCCAAGTTTATTGAGAGCTGGTGTGATGTGGTAATATTTTCGTATTCCTCCCAAGGCAACTCGAGCTGCAAAAATAATATGCTTCTCTATTCTGTTTATCTGAATTGTAGTGGTAGCTCCCCAAACAGTTGTGCAGTAATTAATGTGACTTAAGGCTACAACAGTTATTTGAGGGGTAGTCTCAAAATTGTCTTTTATACATGATAAGTACATTAATGTTCCTGTAACCTTTTTGCAGACTTTATCTATGTGCTAATCAAACAACATGTAGTTATCAAAGTGAATGACTAGGTTTTTTACTGTTTTGCTAGGTATAATAATATTGTCGCAAAAATTAATTGTTGTGTTTTCTGGAATTTGTGTTATATGGAGCCTTGAACCAATAAAAAAAAAAAAAAAAAAAAAAAAAAAAACATTTATATAAACATGCATTGTGTTTTACTTTTGTTAATTAACAGCCCAATTTCTTGAAAATAGGTTTTAATTTTTGACAGAATGTTTTCTGCTCTTAAGGTTAGCTCTTGGAGATTATTAATATCACCACTCTTATTTATTAGTTTAATTACATGTCTACTTATAAGTTACTATTAATGTTGAATAACCATTGTACAAAATGGAAATAAATGTTTGTTTGTTTGTTTGTTTGTTTGTTATTGTACGACTAGACAGTCAGAAATGAAAGAAGATAGATCATTTACTTAAATGGCGAAGAGGATAGGACCAAGTATTGATTCCTGTGGAACACCAAATGATACATTTTTTGGCATAGAGATAATGCTGTTAAGACGTATAGATTGTTTGGGATTAGATAGATACTCTCTAAACCAGCTCGGATCAATATTTAGGCTAGTACATTTACGTATAAGAATTTCATGGTTTACGCTGTCGAAGGCTTTTGATAAGTCTACTAATACAAGCAGAAATATTTTTTTCATATCTATATTATTATAAATATTCTTTGTAACTTTGAGCAGTGCAGTTTCCGTCGAGAGTTTCGGTATGAAACCATTTTGATTAATAGATAATAGTATATTTGACTCTAAATATGACATAAGTTGGCATGCAACAATTTTTTTTAATACTTTAGAGAAAATGGGTAGCAGGGAAATGGGACGATAATTTGTCACATCTTCTCTGTCCCCCTTTTTATGCAGAGATATTACATATGATTTTTTCCAAGAGTTAGGAAACTTTTTAGTAATAATGGAAGTGTTCATAATAGTTAGAATATAAGATACAGTCATAGGTAAAGCATCTCTGATGAACTGAAATGGTATACCATCTGGACCATAAGAGCCAGAGTTTCTTAGGATCTTTATGGTAAGAATTAGGGTAGCACAATCGATAGAATTTATCTTGAAGTACTCTCTTGTGTTACATTGGAAGAATTGTCATTTTAGCAATTACTCATATTCACAGAGTTTATGTTGTCTTGTGTTTTCAAATATGTATTTTTGTCAACGTTAGCAAAATAGTTATTAAAGTTTTCCGCTATGTCTTTCAACTCCATAATATTTCCATAACTGTCTGAGGTAGTCTTTTCATTTGGTATCATGCTTCTTATCATTTACCATGTTGCTGCTGTATCATGTCTAGAGTCATTAAATTGTTTTTTATAAAAGTCTTTTTACTTACATTGATGAGAGATCTGACACGTTTCTTTTCTGTTTTATAACGTTCTCGGAGAGTCATATCATATCTATTAATTTTTAGCGCTTTTTGTATTTGATTTCTGATTTGTCTTGCCTCTTTGATGTCATTAGTTAGCCAGGGGACTGAGGGGCAAGTTATTTTTCTTGTAACAATGGGTGCACAACTATCTAAGCATTCAGGAAAGACTTTTGTTAGAATCTCAATCTGCAAATCGACGTAATCTGTGTTTTTAATTGTATTAAGTGCATTTGTAATGGGAGTAATTTTTTTGACGCTGGAATGTCTTGAAGAGAGGCTTCCTTTTTTGGCTTGTTAATGCTTAGCATAGCAATGTTCAGCTCGTGGTCTGCAATTGGGCAGGGAACTACGTCCCAATAGGGGCTACTTTCCACTTTATTTGTTATTATCAGATCTATAAGAGTCCTAGAATTAGGGGTTATGCGGGTCGGTTTTGTCCCTATTTGTGTTAAATTCACAGTGTTGATTACCCTTGTCATTTTGTTATCTGCTGAGAGTAAGTCATCATCAAAGTCACCAAGTATGTATATGGGTTTATGGCGCACACAGATATTTCTGAATGTTTCTAGCAGATGATTGAATGAACTGTTAGGTGCTTTAGAGTAACGGTAAACACACCCTACAATGAAAGATGGAAGTTTCTGATACTGCAGAGTGATCCATAAATCTTCGAGCTCTTCAATTTTCTCTAAACCTGTGGTTATTTCTGATGCACTAAGATAATTTCTAACAAAATTACAGATGCCACCCACTCGGCCACGGTCATTGTGAAATATTTTAAACTCTAGGATACTCACATATTTATTTTCAGTTGTAGGAAGAAGGAAAGTTTCACTTACACAGAGGATGTCTATGTTGTAGTCTTTTGTTAGCATTATTATTTCCTCAAAATGAGCGAGAAGGGACTGAGCGTTCACATGTACTAATGTTTCATTCTTACCATGTTTCACCAGGGTGGTACCCATAGTCATAGTTGTAGTTTGTTCTTGGAAGTGCCCATGATGTGTTTCGACTGTGTGATTCTGCTGGGAATTCATCATTATAGTGTGTTCTGAGGTTACCCCATGGATCCTGGTGTGTGCACATGCCATTAGATGGCTAACACTGATTTGAGTACATGCCATGGTATGATCGGGCCTTCCCAAAGTTTGTATGCCTACGTGAGTGTCTAGGGTTGTAAGAGCCATCTCTCCAGAAGAAGTCTCTTGTGCATGGACGGTGATAAGAAAGGTTTGTATTGTGTCTCTTTCTGTAGTCTCGCTGATAGGGGATTGTTTCATAAACTCTTTACTGTTTATTTTGGTATGACTGTAGTTTGGGATATTTTGTAGATAGCCCAGGTTTGTGTCCATTGTTTGCCCCTGCGAAATGGCTGGACAATTGTGCCTGTAGACCATTGATTCAGTTTGTAAGGCACATATTCAAATCCTTTCGACATCGTTATTGTAAAGGAGACCCAATTTGGTTTGCAAGAATGGTCCCTAATCAAGACTTCTTCAGAGGGAATGCCTTGATTTGTCAATATATTACGTATATCTCTCTCAAAGGGGTTGCCAGGAATGCGAATATATATTTGAGCTGTAACCCTTGCACTTGCATTATTGGGTAATTGTGGCTGTGAGGGAGACTTATAGCAGAGAGTGTTGTTAGGAGTAGTGGAGATTGGCTCTATATATTCTTCGCTGTTTTGCAACCCTCTACCAGGTTGGTTATTTGTGCTGGGAAGAATCTTGTTCTGGTTAGTGCCTGTTGTTGTGTTGTTAGAAGTGAGGAAGGACCCTGTTGTTTCATTACTATTTTGTAAGCTGTTACTGAGTTGATTATTTATGCTAGATGGTGTATTCAGAAGATCTTAAAAGGGAAACAGACCTTACAGCTTATGTTCATATCTGCTATACAAGGAATGAATGCATTCTATCTGAATGCCACTATGTTCACATAATAGATTCCCCAACCTCACTCGTTACTTCATTTTAGCATTTATTTCAACTCCCAGTCTCATTCGGGCCCAACAATAACCAAATAAGCACATTACATATGTGAAAACATGAATCATTTTTAACCCCAACTGGGACTTGAACCTAGGACTTATAATTACTAAGTCAAAGCACTACCAACTACACCACAAAAGGTTAAAAGGAATCAGACCTTATAGCTTATATCTGCTATACTTAGGAATGAACGCATTCTATCTGAATGCAACTATCTTCATATTACAAATATAACAAATTCACTCATGGCTTCATTTTCACTTTTATTTCAACTCCCAATCACCATCGTACCGACCTATAACCAAATAAGCATATTACATAACTGAAAACATGAATCATATTTTACCCAGTCCGGGACTTGAACCTTGGATTTATAATTACTAGATGAAGGTGCTACTAGCTACACCACTGAAGTTTTAAAGGAATCAGGCCTTATAGCTTATATCTGCTATACTTAGGAATGAACGCATTCTATCTGAATGCCACTATATTCATATTATAGAATTCGCCAACCACACTCGTGGATTCATTTTCGCATTTAATTTAGCTCCCAATCACTTTCGGGAACAACAATAACCAAATAAGCATATTATATATTCAAAAGCATGAAGCATTTTTTACCCTAACTGGGACTTGAACCTAGGACTTATAATTACTAAGTCCATGCGCCACCAACTACACCACCCAAGGTTGAAAGGAATCAGACCTTATAGGTTATATCTGCTATATTTAGGAATGAACGCATTCTCTGTGAATGCCATTTTGTTCATGTTACAGATTCTCCAACCCCACTCATGGCTTCATTTTCATATTTATTTCAACTCTCATTCTCATTCAGGCCCATCAATAACCAAATAAGCACATTACATATGTGAAAACATGAATCATTTTTTTACCTGACCGGGACTTGAACCTAGGATTTATAATTACTAAGTCAAGGCGCTACCAACTACACCAAAAAAGGTTAAAAGGAATCAGACCTTATAGTTTATATCTGCTATACTTAGGAATGAACGCATTCTATCTGAATGTATATATGTTCATATTACAGATTTTCCAACCTCACTCTTGGTTTAATTTTTGCATTTAATTTAAATCCCAATCTCATTTGGGCCCAACAATAACCAAATAAGCACACTACATATGTGAAAACATGAATCATTTTTTGCCCCGACCTGGAGTTGATCCTAGGACTTATAATTATTAAGTCACTAATAACTACACCACAGAAGGTTTAAAGGAATCAAACCTTATAGCTTATATCTGCTATACTTAGGAATGAACGCATTCTATCTGAATGCGACTATGGTCATATTACAGATTCCCCAACCTCACTCGTGGCTTCATTTTCGCATTTAATTAAACTCCCAATCACATTATGGCAAAACAATAACCAAATATGTGCATTACATATATGAAAACGTGAATCATTTTTTACCCCGAATGGGACTTAAACCTAAGACCTATAATTACTAAGTCATGGCGCTACCAACTACACCACAGAAGGTTTAAAGGAATCACACATTATAGCTTATATCTGCTGTGCTTAGGAATGAATGCATTATATCTGAATGCCACTAATTCATATTACAGATTCCCCAATCTCATTCGTGGCTTCATTTTCACATTTAGTTCAACTTCCAATCTCCATCGTGCCGAACTAAAACAAAATAAGCACATAACATAACTAAAAACATGAATAACTTTTTAACCCGGCTGGGGCTTGAACCTAGGATTTATATTTACTAAGTGAAGGTGCTACGAACTACACCACTGAAGTTTAAAAGGAATTACCCCTTATAGCTTATATCTGCTATACTTAGGAATGAATGCATTGTATCTGAATGCCACTATGTTCATATTATAGATTCCCCAACCACTCTCGTGGATTCATTTTCACATTTAATTCAACTCCCAATCTCAATCAGGCCCAACAGAAACCAAATAAGCACATTATATATGTGAAAACATGAATCATTCTTTACCCCAACCGGGACTTGAACCTAGAACTTATAATTACTAAGTCAAGGTGCTAACAACTACACCACAGAAGGTTAAAAGGAATCAGATAAGCTTATATCTGCTATACTTAGGAATGAACACATACTATCTGAATGCCACTATGTTCATGTTACAGATTCCCCAACCTCACTTGTGGCTTCGTTTTCGCATTTAATTCAACTCCCAATCTCATTCGGGCCCAATAATAACCAAATAAGCACATTACATATGTGAAAAATTAAATAATTTTTTATCTTGACTTGGACTTCAACCTAGTACTTATTATTATTAAGTGAAGACTCTACCAACTACACCACATAAGGTAAAGAGGAATCAGACCTTATAGCTTATATCTGCTATACTTAGGAATGAGCTCATTCTCTCTGAATGCCATTATGTTCATGTTACAGATTCCCCAACCTCACTCGTGGCGTCATTTTCATATTTATTTCAACTCTTATTCTCATTCAGGTTCATCAATAACCAAATAAGCACATTACATATGTGAAAACATGAATCATTTTTTTCCTGACTGGGACTCGAACCTAGGATTTATAATAACTAAGTCAAGGCACTACCAACTACACCACAGAAGGTTAAAAGGAATCAGACCTTATAGTTTATATCTGCTATACTTAGGAATGAACGCATTCTATCTGAATGTATCTATGTTCATATTACAGATTCCCCAACCTCACTCTTGGTTTAATTTTCGCATTTAATTTAACTCCCAATCTCATTTAGGCCCAGCAATAACTAAATAAGCACATTACATATGTGAAAACATGAATCATTTTTTGCCCCGACCTGGAGTTGATCCTAGGACTTATAATTATTAAATTAAGTCACTAATAACTACACCACAGAAGGTTTAAAGGAATCAATCTTTATAGCTTATATCTGCTATTCTTTGGAATGAACGCATTCTATCTGAATGCCACTATGGTCATATTATAGATTCCCCAACCTCACTCGTGGCTTCATTTTCGCATTTAATTAAACTCCCAATAACATTATGGCAAAACAATAACCAAATATGTGCATTGCATATGTGAAACCATGAATCATTTTTTCCCCCGAATGGGACTTAAACCTAAGACCTATAATTACTAAGTCAAGGTGCTACCAACTTCACCACAGAAGGTTTAAAGGAATCACACCTTATAGCTTATATCTGCTATGCTTCGAAATGAATGCATTATATCTGAATGCCACTAATTCATATTACAGATTCCCCAATCTCATTCGTGGCTTCATTTTCACATTTAGTTCAACTTCCAATCTCCGTCATGCTGAACTATAACAAAATAAGCACAGAACATAACTAAAAACATGAATAACCTTTTAACCCGGCTGGGCCTTGAACCTAGGATTTATATTTACTAAGTGAAGGTGCTACGAACTACACCACTGAAGTTTAAAAGGAATTACCCCTTATAGCTTATATCTGCTATACTTAGGAATGAACGCATTCTATCTGAATGCCACTATGTTCATATTATAGATTCCCCAACCACTCTCGTTAATTCATTTTCACATTTAATTCAACTCCCAATCTCAATCAGGCCCAACAGTAACCAAATAAACACATTATAAACGTGAAAACATGAATTATTCTTTACCCCGGCTGGGACTTGAACCTAGAACATATAATTACTAGGTCAAGGTGCTAACAACTACACCACAGAAGGTTAAAAAGAATCAGACCTTAAAGCTTATATCTCCTATATTTGATAATGAATGCATTTTATCTGAATGTATGTATGTTCATATTACAGATTTCCCAAACTCTCACGTGGCTTCATGTTTGCTTTCAATTCAACTCCCAATCTCAGTCTGGCCCAAGAATAACCTAATACGTACATTACATATGTGAAAACATGAATCATTTTTTACCCCGACCGGGACTTGAACCTTGAACTTATAATTACTAAGTCAAGGTGCTACCAACTAAGGTTAAAAGGAAACAGGCCTTATAGCTTATTTTTGCTGTTCTTATGATTGAACGCATTCTATCTGAATGCCACTATGTTCATATTACAGATTCACCAAACTTACTCGTGGCTACATTTTTCCTTTTAACTCCACTCCAAATCTTGTTCGGGCCCAACAATAATCTAATAAGCACATTACATATATGAAAACATGAACCATTTTTTATCATGACCAGGACTTGAACCTAGGACGTATAATTACTAAGTAAATGCTCTACCAACTATACCACAGAATGTTAAAAGGAATCGGACCTTTTAGCTTATATCTCCTATACTTAGGAATGAAAGCATTCCATCTGAATGCCACTATGTTCATATTACAGATTCCCCAACCTCACTCGTGGCTTAATTTTCTCTATTAATTCAACTCCCAACTTCATTCGGGTCGAAAAATAACAAAGTAAGCACATTACATATGTGAAAATATAAATCATATTTTAGCCCAACCAGGACTTGAACCTAGGACTTATATTTACTAAGTAAAGGTGCTACCAATTACACCACAGAAGGTTAAAAGAAATCAGACCTTATAGCTTATATCTGCTATACTTAGCAATGAACTCATTCTATCCAAAATGCCACTGTGTTCATATTACAGATTCCAAAACCTCGCTCGAGGCTTTATTTTCATCTTTAATTCAACTCTCAATCTCATTTGGGCCGAACAATAACCAAATAAGCACATTAAATATGTGAAAACATAAATAATTTTCTACCCCGATGGGGACTTCAACCTAAGACTTATAATTACTTAGTCAAGTCGCTACCAATTACACCATAGAAGGTTTAAAGGAATCAGACCTGATAACTTATATCTGCTATGCTTAGGAATGAACACATTCTATCTGAATGCCACTATGTTCATATTACAAATTCCCCAACCTCACTCATGGCTTCATTTTCGCATTTAATTCAACTCCCAATCTCATTTGGGAACAACAGTTAAGAAATAAACACATTACATATGTGAAAATATGAATAATTTTTTACCGCGACTGGGATTTGAAACTAGAACTTATAATTACTAAGTTAAGGACTGCCAACTACACCACAGAAGACTAAAAGGAATCAGACCTTATAGCTTATTTATGCTATACTTAGGAATGAACGCATTCTATCTGAATGCCACTATGTTCATATTACAGATTCCCCAAGCTTACTCGTGGCTCCATTTTTACTCTTAACTCCTAATCTCGTTTGGGCCCAACAATAATCTAATAAGCACATTACATATATGAAACCATGAATGATTTTTTATCCTGACAGGGACTTGAACCTAGGACTTATAATTACTAAGTCAAGGCTCTAATAACTACACTACAGAAGGTTAAAAGGAATCAGACCTTATAGCTTAAATAGGCTATACTTTGGAATGATCGCATTCTATCTGAATGCTACTATGTTCATATTACAGACTCCCCAACCTCACTCGAGGGTTCATTTTTGCATTTAATTCAACTCCCAGTCTCATTTGGGCTCAACAAAAACCAAATAAGCACATTACAAATGTGAAAACATGAATCATTTTTTACCCTGACCGGGACTTGAACCCAGGACTTATAATTACTAATTCAAGGTGCTACCAACTACACCAAAGAAGGTTAGAAGTAATCAGATAAGTTTATATCTGCTATGCTTAGGAATAAACACATTCTATCTGAATGCCAGCATGTTCAGGTTACAGATTCACCAACCTCATTCGTGGCTTCATTTTCGCATTTAATTTAACTCCCACTCTCATTCGGGCCAAACAATAACCAAATAAGCACATTACATATGTGAAAAAAATAAATAATTTTTTACCCCGACTGGGATATCAACCTAGTACTTATAATTATTAAGTGCAGACACTACCAACTACACCACAGAAGGTAAAAAATAATCAGACCTTATTGCTTATATCTGCTATACTTAGAAATGAACGCATTCTATCTGAATGCCATTATGTTAATGTTGCAGATTCCCCAACCTCACTCGTGGCTTCATTTTCACATTTATTTCAACTCTCATTCTCATTCAGGCCCAACAATAACCAAATAAGCACATTACATATGTGAAAACATGAATCATTTTTTTCCCTGCCAGGACTTGAACCTAGCATTTATAAGTACTAAGTCAAGGCACTATCAACTACACCACAGAAGGTTAAAAGGAACCAGACCTTATTGCTTATATAGGCTATACTTAGGAATGAAAACATTCGATCTGAATACCACTATGTTCATATTACAAATTCCCCAACCTCTCTCGTTGCTTCATTTTTGCATCTAATTCAACTCCCAATCTCATTCGGGCCCAAAAATAACTAAATAAGCACATTACATTTGTGAAAATATGAATCATTTTTTACCCCTACTGGGACTTGAACCTAGGACTTATAGTTCAATGTACATCACAGTGAGTGGCTTTATTCTTCTCACACTGATGTGGGAGGAAGCGAGGCCCTTGCTTTCTCTCTTACTCATGATCAGGAGCAAATTATCAAACATCCTACTCGCGTTCCTTATCGTCACAAACATACTGCAAACACTTTTGACCTATTTTTTACTTCTAACCCTTCAAACTACTCTTATTCTGTGTTTTCCCCTCTTGGTAGATCTGACCATTCTGTGAATTCAATGTCTTCCATTTTCGCTCCCCAACCACCAATCCCTCCTACACAGCGCCGCCTTTGGCACTTCAAGCGTACCCAACATGAAAATTTGCATAACATTTATTTTGACTTCCCATGGGATGACTACTGCTTTCGGTCCTGCAACCCTGGTCAGGTAGCTATGAAAGTTGCTGAGATTATGACCGCGGGACTGGAAGTGTACATCCCCTCTTCAACAAAAACTTCCTCTCCCCCTAAATCTTGGTGTGACCGTGCCTGCTCCATGGCAATCCAGGCTAGGCTCACAGATCTTACATAGCCTCTCCTTCCGATTTAACTCGCTCTGCTTTTATTATACCTAGGAATCACTGTACTGCTCAGATTCGAAGGTTTAAGAATTCCTTTATAGGAAGGAAAGTTGATGACCTTAACTCCTCTCCCACTAATAAATGCTTCTGGTCCTTAGCCAAAAACCTCTCCAAAAACTTCTGTAACTCAAGCGTTCCCCCTCTCATTCGTTCTGATGGTTCTATAGCTTGCTCTACCACTGACAAAGCCACCCATTTTGGCCCTCATTTTTCTGCTATCTCTTCTATCAATGATTCCAGTGCACCTGCTCCTCAGTCTTTACCCATCTCTAACCCTATGCCCTCCCTGATCCTTTCTTCACGCGAAGTTCATAAGGTTCTTTGCTCTCTAAAGACAAACAAGGCATATGATCCCGATGGTATCCCTGCAAGGTTCCTTAAGGAGTTTGCACATGAACTGGCTCCCGTGCTTTGCCGTCTTTTTCACCTCATTCTGTCAACCAGTATCTATCCTTCATCTTGGAAGCATGCTTTAGTTCATCCTGTTCCAAAGAAGGTGACTGCTCTATTCCTTCTAACTACCGACCTCTTGCCCTAACCTCCTCTATTACCAAAGTTTTCAAAACTTTGCTCAATTCTCACTTCTTGAAACGTCTTGAATCTAACTCACTTATCTCCGATCACCAGTACGGCTTCCGCAAGGCAAGATCCACTGGTGATCTCCTGTCGTCCTATCTTACTCATGTATGGTCATCTTCTCTGAGGAACTTTGGGGAATCCTTTGTCGTCACCCTTGATATCTCTAAGGCTTTTGACAGAGTCTGGCAGAAGGCTCTGTTGGTCAAACTCCCTGCCTATGGCTTTACCCCTTCTTTCTGTTTTCTGATTTTCAGTTTTCTTACTGGCCGTTCTATATCTTTAGTTGTTGATGATGCGACATCTAGCCCTATCTCTGTTGCCAGTGGTGTTCCACAGGGCTCTGTTCTTTCACTTACTCTGTTCCTTCTCTTCATCAATGATCTTCTACAATCCCCATCTTCCTCTCTTCATCATGCCTTTGCTGATGATTCTACCCTTCACTTTTCCTCTGCCTTTTCTTCACAACCTTCATCTGTTACTCGTAATAAATCTCGTATCACTCTTTCTTCTACTCTTAACTCCGATTTGCAGAGAGTATCTGAGTGGGGCACTCAAAATTTAATTAAATTTAATGCCTCCAAGACACAGTTTCTGGCTATCTCTTTATCTTCTTCTCCTCCTGATAACCCTATTGTCTTCAAAACTAATGAAATTTACCCTCTTAACTCTATCAACATATTAGGAATCCATATAGCCTCTAACTTGTCTTTTAGGAATCACATAATCCAAATTTCAAAATTTTCATCCAAAAAATTGGTGGTTTTGTTTCGTTTTCGTCATCACTTTTCCTCTTCGCAATTACTTAAAATTTTTACAAAGGCCTTATCCGTCCCAGCTTAGAATACTACTCACACATCTGGTTTGCTTCTTCCTTTACATATCTTCTTGATAGGGCTGAATCTAAGGCAGTCAGACTCATTAATGATCCTTCTCTTACTTCTAACCTGGATTCTCTCTCTCTTCGCCATAACGTATCTTCCCTTTCGCTTTTCTATCGCTATTACTTCCATCGCTGCTCTGATGAGTTGGCGAGTTGCATTCCTCCTACACTGCCGAGGCCGCATAACATTCCCCAAGCGGCCTCATCTCACCGGTACTCTGTGAAGATTTGTAGCTCGCGGATTGGTCGGGGCAGCGACTGCTTCTTCCCATCTACCTCCAGACTCTGGAACTCTCTTCCTCCTTCTGTATTTCCTACTTCTCATGACCTTTCATCCTTCAAAAAGCAGATCTATCGTCATCTCAGAGCCTAGTTCTCCATATATCTGCGTGCTCTGTATTTTGAGTGTTTTTTCTGTCTATTGTTTTCCTTTATGTAACATTACCTCATCTATGCCTTGTCTTTAACCTTTTTCTTTTCCTTCATCTTGGAATTTTCTCGTGCCCGGGCCTTTATTAGTAAGGGCAGTTTCTACATGTCCCAGTGTCACACTCATAAAAAAGAAAAAAATTACTAAGTCAAGGCGCTACCAACTACACCACAGAAGCTTAAAAGGAATCAGACCTTAAAGCTTATATCTGCTATACTTAGGAATGAACGCATTCTATCTGAATGACACTATGTTCATATTACAGACTCCCCAACCTAACTCGTGGCTTCATTTTTGCATTTAATTTAACTCCCAATCTCATTCGGGCCTAACAAAAAAAAAAAGCACATTACATATTTGAAAAAATTAATCATTTGTTTACCCCTACTTGGACTTGAACCTAGGACTTATAATTATTAAGTCAAGACACTACCAGCTACACCACAGTGGGTTAAAAGGAATCAGACCTTTTAGCTTATGTCTGCTATACTTTGGAATGAATGCATTCTACCTGAATGCCACTATGTTCATTTTACAGATGCCCCAGCCTCACTCGAGGCTTCATTTTCGCATTTAATTCAACCCCTAATCTCATTCGGGCCAAACAATAACCAAATAAGCACATTACATATGTGAAAACATGAATCATTTTTTACCCCGA